GACTGCGGCAATCCCTTTTCCGCTGGCTGCAACCGGGGAGAGGTTAGGCGACGGCGACAGCAGATGCGAGCGGAAGCGCGTTCCTCCCCTTCCTCCATGGATGCGTCCCCCTTGGGTACGTCCATGTCACGATGCGAGCGCGTCGGCGTATCGAGCAACCGGCTACCAGTGTTGGCCGACACGCTGCGCAAACGATCCACGACAGGATTGCCCCTGTTCCGCGTCGCCTTATCGTACTTCTCCCCGTAGGAAACGTCGCGATCGAGCCACGCTCGGATCGGCGACATTTAACTCCCTTTCCTTGCTATAAGTCGAGCGAATATAAGTCGCTCACCGTAAATTGCCACCGACGTACCACGGCCGACTAAAGTCGCTCTGCATTAAATTGGCTCCTATAGGCGATTATAGTCTGCGTAGCGATCCGAGTATCGGTGTACCACCTTTCTCTGGAAATGCAGCAATAGTTTCTCACGAGACTCTTCGATAATAAAGTCACTCGAAGAAGATTTTCGAAAAAGAAAATGACGATCTTTCTCTCGAGTGCAAATTTTTGGCGGAGAAATCAGCCGTAAGGGTTAGTGGAAGCGTGAGCGGAAGAAAGAGAGGAAGAAGGCAGGACGAGGAATCTGAACGAGGAATAACGTGTTATTATTGATCGCGATTCCCATTCCATTCGCGTCGGGGGTGAAGGTGAAAATTTAATTGCCGGTAAACATGCTCTTGCGACTTGACTGGCGACCGCTTTTGTTATCGAGATGATCGTTGAAAACGAGGGAGGGAGAGGGGGAGAGGGGGGAGCGTAACTCGACGGGTGGTAATCGAATTTAGGGACGAAAGTGGCGCGAGAATTGGTCGACTAGTTTTACACCGAACGCGTGTAAATTTCCATGGAATAACGGGTGCACGGAAACGGAACCGGAGGATCCGACGGATCGCGATGCAACTCTCTCTCTCTCTCTCTCTCTCTTCCTCTCTCTGTCTTTCTCCCTCTCTCGGAATATCGTCGTCGTCGTCGTCGTCGTCGACCAACGCGCTAGTTTAATTACTTTACGAATATTAATTATCGCGGTTCTCTCTCTCTCTCTTTCTCTCTCTCTCTCTCGTTTCAACGGAATAGCCTGTTGCTGTAGAACGAGGCGATCGGGGAAAGATTTCGTTTGCTCGTGAAATTCCGTTGTTGGAAATTCGAATCGAAATTACCCGGATCTTTCGTTCGGATCGAGAATGAAATCCTTCGGGATTTTTTTTCTCTCTCTCTCTCTCCCACCGAACGAAGAAAGGGTAGGGGGGGAAAGGACTCGATTAGCAAATTGATGCGGATCCGGAGTATGCCGGTGGATTGGACCGGAGGATGTTGATCAATTACCGTAATCGTTGCTTCCCCTGGATCGAAGGAAGTTTGTCACGCGACAATGCCTTCGTTCCTTCGTGCCGACTATCGTCGTAATTACGTTATCGTACACCGTTATGTATATACACCGTTATTACGAACGTTTCCTCTCCGACGATCGCTGTTTACCCTCCTCTCCTTCTGTCCTCCGCTTTCTCTCTCTCTTTCTCGTTTCTCCTCCAGTTTACGAATGGAAAATATCGGCGATCCGGAGAATATTCGAATGGGCGAATCATAAGGCTTGGAAACGAGACGAAACGAAACGAGTTCCATGGATGACCAGCAGATGAGACGATTCCACGGAATATCGGATAAACGGGGAAGGAGGGGGGGAGAAAAATCTCCGATATGTAAAAGAATACATCAAACGCGCTCGATACTTCAAATATTCGTTGTCGGGGAACGGAATAACAATTTCCATTACTCGCACGTTTCCAGCCATCGAAACGGTCTACGACTAATCGAGAAACGATTCGCGGTTCGTGCGCGGCCCGACTACCCGTTTTCATCCGTCCTCCCTTCTTGGTCTCGACTCGAATCGATATCAATCGAGAGAGAGATAAATAAACGAATCGGAAAGGATTGAACGGCGCGTCATTTACCCCTGTTCCACTGTTTCAGATACGACCTAGAAACGGACAAGCTCTACTCCATCACGTGGTACAAGGACCACGAGGAATTCTACAGATACGTGCCCAGAGGGGAGCCCAAGAAGCACACCTATCACGTGGAGGGGGTTAAAGTTGACGTGAGTCGAAAACGGCTCGAATACTCGAGTTCTAGCGCGCCGTTCCGGGGGTGAGGTGGCAGGCTCGCGAGTACCAACTACGTCTAACAAAGCTAGCGCGACATCGGGAGAAATTCCATTTACGAGCCGGCACGGATAAAGCCGTACGGAGGGAAAAAGCGCGCAGTTACGCTCGTCGCTCCTTTTATCTCGCATCATCTCCAACTTCAATATCCACGCCGGTATACAGACCTCTTTGCGTGTTACGAGATGCGCGCGATTACCTTTGCGAATATGCGTCGGCATATGTATATGTATATATATACGTATATATATATATATATCGATCTCGAAGGTAAACATTTCGTGGACGATTTTTCTTTCTTTTTCCTCTTTCTTTTTATCTTCTTCCCCTTCCTTTGTCCACGAAATCTCGCAAATTATTATTCCTCGATCCCTCGAGAATAATTGTAGAAGAAAATCATAAGCGTCGTTTGGGATCGTGAGAGCGGTTCGTTTGATCGTTCGTTTTCCGAACGAAAAGTGGTCGACGATGAGGGGGAGAAAAAAGGAAAAAGAGGAAGAGACGAAAGGTCTGAATATTCCGGGTCTGATCGTTTTATCGCTCGCATCCGTCCGAAACGAAGGACGGGTTTTTGGGACCATGCGCAAGAAAAAGAAAAAAAAAAAAAAAAAAAATAAAAAAACGCGGGTTTCCTCGCTCGAGATCGTTGGTTCGTTCGTTGGTTGGTTCGCGACGAGGCCGAGACGTCACGCAGCTTTGAACGTAAGAACCCTCTATTCAATTTCCCCTTTCGAATTTTATTCGACGTCGTATATAAAAGTATTTCATCGAGCCGGTTCAAATCGACGGAATAAGGGAAGGGGAGGGGCGGGGGGTGGGCATAAAGTTGGCGATACGTTTCGATACGTGTGTCGTACGTTGTCCTTCCCGCGCCATTCGAACGAGGTCGTCGTGTCTTTATCGTCCCGAATAAATGTTTGACGAATCGGGGCGAGACGAAAGGAAGGGGGAAGAGGAGAGGGAGGAGAGGTTGTCTCTCGTGACCGAAGCAGCTATATCGGTTGTAAAGTCGAATCGCGAGAAAGGAGAGAAGGAAAGAGAGAAGATATATATATATATATATAAAACCGATCGATCTCTTCTCGGATCGCGGAGGTCCATGCGGAGAGAGAAAGAGAGAGAAAGAGAAAGAGAGAGGGAGAGGAAAGCCGTACGAAACGGAATCGCATCGAGACCGTTCTCGATACGATACGTCCGTTTCCGATTCCGCGTTTTTCGGGCGAACGAAAGGCACGAAAGTTCCGTTTTCTCCTCTTCCTCCCCCCTCCACCGCGCTCGTTAATATCGGCCGACGCGTAACGAGCGTTACGTGATTCGAATCGGCTCATCCTTTTTCTCCGGAGAAGAGGATCCGGAGAACTCCGGGAAGGAAGAGGAAGAGAGAGCACGGCTATTAATCTGACTCGGTCCAATGGCCGCCCGATATCGACAAAGAAATTTCTTTCGTGGACAAAAGCGAGCGTGTCTTTTCACCCCTCTCCACCGCCGCCCATTCCTCCGCTTGGATATCGCTCGCGTGACACTTATTGGAGTAGCAGGAATTAAGTGGATTTAGCGGCCGGAGCCGTATATTTTCTACTTCAGAGGGGGAGGGAGGGATCTCGACTTTTAATTTTCCTCCACCCCCCTCTCGTTCGCCCGCGTTACGTAACATCGCCACGCTTAATTTCGCTATCGCTGAAAATTTTAAATCCTCCCTCCCGCCTCCCTCTCTATTCTCGACATTTATTTAACCCCTTCCCTCTCCCTCGAATAATTTCGTTGGAACGGAGAGAAAGGGATCGAGAATTCCTCGCGGTCGAAGACGAGCAGAGAAGATTAAGTTTTATCGGCTCGCGGAGGTCGCCTCCCCTCCTACTCGACGATTCGTCGTCGTCCTCGTCGTCGTTAGTTAATTTCCACTCGGACGAAGGAACGAAGCAAGAGGTTTGCGGTCGCTTTTGAAATCTCGTTTCCACGCCTAATCGTTTTCAAAAAAGAAGAAGAAAAAAAAAAACTCTCGCGAGTTTTCTCCGCGTTAAACTTCCCTCTCCCCCTCTCTCTCTCTCTCTCTCTCGGCGAGTACCTTTTTTGCAGATCCTCTTATTTCCGAGAAACGTAGTTGGCGCGAGAAAGGGAGGGAAAAAAGAAAAAAAGGAAGGCGAGAAAGCGAGTCACGTTTTATCGGGACGTATACGGGGACGTGTGCAGCAGCCGTTTCTCTCGGTGAATAGCGGACGCGCGGCGCCATTCGTCTCTCCCTCTCTCTCCCTCTTCCTCGTTGGAGGCGAATCGGTCGGTCCGCAGGAGTCGCGCGCCGCGCGCCGCTCGCCGGCGAAACACGAACGAAATAACCCCCGGAGGTAATGCGATTCCCGCCAACGTTTCGACTTGGACCCTCCCCCACCTCCTTGTTTTCCCGCAACTTTTCTCGCCAAACGTAAATCGATTTGTCGATGAGGAAAGTTTGCGCAGAGGCCATCCTCGTCGTCGCGATAAAACGTTTTCTCGCTCGCTCGCTCGCTCGTTCGACGACCCGAGAGTCGAGATCTCGATCGAATTTTTTTCGGCTCTTTCGAAAGCGCGCGAGGAAGGGGGGAGGGGATCGTGGATATTTGTAACTCCGAAGCGAAAAAAAAGAAAAAAAGACACGCCACCGGGTGTCTGATAAATGGATTATCAACGTTGGCGGGTCTTCCCTTTGCCCCACCACTCCTTCTCAACGTAGTAGGAATTAATCGGCGATCGGATCTCTCCACTTTCGATATGGGTGAAGAGGAAAGAGGAAGAATAGAGAGAGAGGGAGAAAGAACGAAACAACTCCTCGTTGCTTTTTTTCTTTCTTTTTTTTAACTGGCCAGAGACCCTATCTATCCATCCATCCATCCATCCATCCATCGTCGAAATAACTTTCGATACACGTAGATCGGGGCACGCTCGTGCGGCAATAAATCGATATAAGCGCGTGTAAGCCTCTTACCCACCTCATAGCGTAATATTCTATCTATGAAGAATAATTGAAGCTGTGCAGCGTCTGTGCGGAAACGGTGAAGGTAGGAAACGAGAGAGTGGTAGTAGGGGGAACTAGGCAACAGCTCGGAATGGAGAGGTGGGTGATCGTCGTGGCCGAAAAACGTTTCGAAACGGTTCCCCGTTGTTTGGAGTTTTAAAAAAAGGGGGGAGGGGGTGGAGAGAAAAGTCGCGCATCGATCTCCACCCCTCGCCACGGGGGGAGGGATCACCGTTGGAAAGATAAAGCGGGAAACTCTCGCTCGCGAAAACCCGGGAGAAATTAGTGGCCGCGATTTATAGGGCGACGTGGACGATTTTGTTTCAGTATCGGCGCTCCGATCACCAGCAAGTTCTGCTTCAGAACGTGAGCCTGTACACCAGCGGGAAATACAAGTGCGAGGTGATCACAGAGGCTCCTAGCTTCAATGCGGTCAACGCGGAAGCCAATATGGAGATCGTAGGTGAGTGGAACCTAAGTAAGGTCGTAAAATTATGATTGGTTGGTATTATGTTGGACGAAGAAAGAGAGAAAGAAATAATCGTGGAAGATTCGAGCGAGTAGGAGAAGGTAAATTGGACAAAATTATTTCTTTCTCGATTTTAGGTATTTTATTTAAGAGATTTAACTTTTAGAAAAGGATAGTACGCTTTTTATTATAATTTATCATTTCGATTAAAAAATATGCAAAAACTGAATGTATAAGAAAAATTAACATTGCATTTAGTTAATATCGAATAACATTAAGAAAAGAAAATATAAATAATTATGATTGAAGAAGATTTGGAGTTTGAGAATTGGAAATGGCATTCCAAAGAAACGTACATGTTCGAGGAAAAGAACAATTTATTTGCTACGAAAATAACGATAAAAACGATAAAACTGAAAATTATAAAATGAAAGAAACATTGGAAAAAGACATACTGCGTACCAATGGCTAGATCAAAGAATCCGCTCGTACACATCATTTACGGCCGGCTTTAAACGTTAAAATTAATTCTAATAATTCTAATAAGTTTTGCAAACTTGTGCGAAAAATATGTACATTCTCGCGTGGAACGAAATAAATGGAATAAAAAAATTAAAAAGTTAATTAAAATTAAAATTAAAAAAATTAAAAAATATAAAAAAATTATGGAATCGTTGTTACATTATTTGCGCAATTTCTAATACGAAATCGGTTGTACCCGTTATAAAATTGAAATTTAAAACGCTTCTTAAAAAATTTACGGAATATCTCTCTATTGAAACGACCGATCAATCATCGATCGATTCTCTCCCTAAATATACATATTTAATCTGTAAAAAAAAGACGATTTAAAATTTTAACGCATTTGTCACAAAATCAATTTTATCCAGCTTATTTGAGATATGCACCGTTCGAATCGAAGGAAAACCTTTCCTTCCTTCCAACAGTCACGCGCACGATTAGAACGTTCACGCACGTTGCAGCTGTCGTGCGGCTTCTTCTAAGCTCTAACCTCCTCCCACCCGCTTCCACCACCCGCTTCCCACGCGATCCTTGTGAAAATGGAGATTCAATTTTTCGGGATAGCGCTCGCAAAGGAAAGAGAGAGGGAGGGAGAAAGAGACAAAGTCCGAGGAGAATATTAGAGAGTCCGTGGTGTGTAGCGGGCTAAGGAGGAGGGGGCGTAAAAGGAGAAAGAAAGAGAGGGGGGAGAGGAAAGGAAGAAAGGCTTCTCGAGCGTAAAAGCATCTGCTGGGCTCGGAAAGGGAAGTCGCGACGCGAGAGACTAAAGGGGGCCGCGTAACGCGTTCGAAAGCCTTTTCGAAAGCGTTTCTTCGAAAACGATGAAATTTCCTTCCCCCCCTCCGCCGCGTTTCCTTCTATTCTCCGTAGTCCGGCCGCGCTCTCCGACCTATGCACGATCGATAACCCGCCGCGTACCCGCCATTACCGTGCCTTTACCGACCTCGTGGAAAATTTTCGTACGCGGCAAATAACCCGCGGCCATCCCTCGTGTCTCTGCCCTTTCCCCTCTCTTTCCTTCCTTCTCGAAAGTAAAACCGGGGAATCGCGTGACACGGTTCGTCCAATTTCCTTTTCTCTCTCTCTCTCTCTCTCTCTCTCTCTCTCTTTTTGGAAACACACGTTTGACGTTACTCTCGCCGATGTAAAAGCTTTACTTTGAGCGAAGATCTCTCGAAGTAAATTTCAACTCTCGTTCTCCTCGAGAGGGGGGAAGGAAAGTGCGTAGGGATGAAACAGGAAGGAAAAATTTCGTAAACTGCGAAAAGAGGAGGGAGAGAAGAAAGAGGAAGGGGAGCAGGGTAAGGATAATTATGAACCGAATCGTTTTGCCCTCGAAAGGGTTACGCAGTAGGGAATAGAATATTGTAAACGTGACAGGTTTGCAAGACTTAGGGATGAACTATTTTTTTATTTTTATCCACCCAAAAAACGATCCGACTTCGTCCGTCGAATCCGATCTCCGACGAAGATGGAGAGAGAAAAACAACAAAGCGTTTATAAAAGGGGAGGAAAAAAAAAAAAAAAGGTTGTTGTGATTGCAGTTCTACCTCAAGAGGGACCGTTGATAACGGGCGAGGAGAAGATTTACGCGAGCGGCGACATCCTCGGTCTGAATTGCACCAGCGGCAAGTCTCATCCCGCCTCGACGTTCAAATGGTTCATCAATGGGAAGCAGGTGAGAGGAAGGCGAGAACTTGGGGGGAGGAAACGGTGGAAACGGGTCTTCCCTTTCGTATTAGAGGGAGAGAGAGAGAAAGTTACACAGTTTGCCACGGTCGAAAGTTATAGATAGACTTTGGAGAGGCGAAAGCGTGCAACGGATAGACGAAGCGTGACGACGAGCAGGACCTGGGGATCGTTAAACGGATCAGAGAGAAAAGAGGGAGGGAGAGCGCTTAGGCTGCCGGTCGAAGGAAGCGATACCGGCAACGACGACGATGCTTGATGAGCCAAAGTTCCAATTAACGAGCGCTACCGAAAGCCGTGAGAGAAGGCGCGTAATATATAGCGTGTGCAATCCGTATCCGTCTCGACGAACCGCCCCTACGCAACCACACTTCTCTTTTCGTCTACACTTTCTCCCGGAAACTCGACGACTTTGCAACTTTCCAACTCTCCCTTTCTCCCTCTTCTCCCGTCGGGCGGAGAAGAAAGGGGAAAAGAAGGAAAGAAGAAACGTGGACAAAGGGGACGGCGAAATTCGGGCAACTCGGTTAATTAATCCACGTGACGTGGAGCTGGGAAAGGAATCTAATTTGTCCGCGGGAAAATAAAAAAATCGGGAGGATTTGGAGAAAGGAAGCGATTGGCGCGCGCGAGGTCGTCGGGGGATTCGAATATAATCCGCAAAGCGGAAGCAGTTGAGCGGGGCGAAGCGAGCGGATGCCCGGTTTAAAGATTACGTCGATGAACGTCGGTCGTCCCCTTTAGGGCTTCGCGACGAATCGCGACACGGCGCGCGACGCGATACGACGGCTCGAAAACTTTTCCCTTATCGGCCGCGCCTCGTCTCCGCCGCCTCCTCTGTCTCCCTCTGCTTCTGGCAAAACTTGCCTCGCCTTCTCTCGGCGATGTCCATTAAGAGTTGAGCGAGTTTACCGCGCCACTTAACGCGAGTAGTAATATCGTTTCGAAAACGTCCTACGTCTCGTCTCGTCTCTCGATTCGGAGGATACAAGGCCTCCTCGTTTCGGGCCTTGTATCCTTTCGATTCGAACGGAGATAGAACGAATGGAGATGTTCGAAAAGAGCAAGAAGAGATCGAGGTTACGATCACGATAATGAATATCGTTTCGGGAAGAAGATTCGAAAGAGGAGGGGAAGAAGAAGCGAAATGTAGCTTCGCGAAATTCGAGAAAATTTNAGAGAGAGAGAGAGAGAGAGAGAGAGAGAGAGGAGGTCTAAACGCGCATCCATCCATCCGGTTATCATTTCTGGGAGAAGGGACAAGGTTCTTTGCTCGGATGGCCCGCGGCTGGGAATCTCGTTGGGCGGAAAGGGGAGGAAATCTCGATAGGGACGACGTTTCCGCTTCCCTTCGCCCTCTCCACCCCTCCTCTTTCCTTCCATTACGCCACGCAATCGCGTCGAATCGCGCGCGAATCGAGTATCGTTTCGTCCTCGCCCTCGTCGTCTCCCTCGATCGCGATAATTGGAAATATAATTCCGTGGCGAGAGATCGATCGCCGTTACGAGATCGTAACGACATACAATTCGGGGAAGAACACGTTCCGTCGTTGATTCGTTTCAGGTGAAGCCCGACACGGAAATGGTGTTCGAGCAGCACGGACTCTACTCGGTGATATCCAGTTTACGGCTACAGTTGGAACCGAATCACTTCGCTGGCGACAAAATAAACGTCAGGTAATTTCGTCCTGGACGATCTCCTCTCCGACCACCATCACATCAACCAGCCCCCCTCGAGTCCGACGATTAATGCGTCTCTATCAATTTTGTCAAAAGATGCGAGGCGACCGTGGAATTGGATTCAAACTCGGACGCGCTGCTCCTCGAGACTCGCACAACGGAAGTTTTCGGTAAGCATCCTTCGTTTCGTTCCTCCTTCTTCCTTCCTTCCTTCCTTTCTTTCGTTGTTTAACTCTCTCCTTCGTGCGGAAAAGAGAGAGAGAGAGAGACGGGAACCGTCGAAACGACGGACGCGTTAATTAACGCGTGCTTGACGTCGCGAGAAACGATTACCTCGTTATTTCTCGACCAAAGAGGCGCAACCCCGGAGAAAGCGAGGAGGGAAAAAGGAACGGAGAGGGGGGGGGAGAGCGCGAGGAGTCACTTTCGCAGGAAATTAAGCATCGCTCGTGCCCTCTAACGAATTAAGGATGCTTTACGATCGTCGTCGTCGTCCAGAGTGGAACGGGGTGCCTGGGCCGGCCGCAAAGTCGGACCGAGATCTCCCTCGAGAAACGGCCGCGTCCGTGGACCGTTCAAAATTAAAACAATAATTTACCTTTCGTTTACCTTTTGCCTCGCGATCGCCCTTCTTTCTTTCTTTCTTTCACGATCAATTTCAACGCGTAAATTACGCCCCATCACGTGCCACGAACCGCCCATTTGACCCGAGGATGGACGGAGGAAATTGTATAAATGAAAAATTAAAATAAAAATGGAGCTCGGAGAACGGATGGTGGCGATCGATCGAGAAAGGAGAACGAGAGGAGAAATTTACTCCCCTCGCGTCTACTCGAAAATCGCCAATGGGGAGGCAAAGGGAAAGAGAGAGAGAGAGAGAGAGGGAGGGAACGTCTCGACGAAATTGCTCTTAACGATCTTCGATTTTCTCTAGTTAGTCCAAGTTGTTCTTGGAAGCGACGTACGTCGCGTTGCTGCTCCTGTCGCATTTGCCCTTCCCCTCTCCCCCTCTCCCCCTGTCTATTCTCCGGTGTCGGGCAAAAGTCGGCTTAAAATGTTGAAATTTCGCGCGAAATCCTTGCCTCGCTTCGTCACTATACCTCGCTTGTTCCGGATGTTTCAGTCGCAGGACACGCGACCACCCTCGCGTCTGCCGTCTGCCGCTTGACGGTGGTTAGCGCGCTGCTCGCCGCGCTGCTGGTCTAGGAGTAGGATCGACGACGAGCGCGGCCGGCCGCGCTTCCCTCCTCCGAGGAGCCGTCGAGGAGGAGACCGTCGTCGGAAGGAGAGAGGGCGAAGCGTCGATGAGAGTGGGGAAGAAGAGGAGAGGAGAGGAAATGGAAATGGTTTCGAAAGGACCGCGTTTGGCTACTTGGCCGGATGGACGATCATCGATCCAGAGGAGGGAGGAACGCGGAGCCCGGATTTACCGTGCCGCGTATTACGGCACGCGACTCGAAAATACGATTTACGAGGGTGTAAGCCGATTAATTCGGAACGATTCGACGGGAGCACGGGCTGGCCGTAAATATTTATCGAAAAATACGCGTGTACGGAAGCGAGGGGACTCGAGCATGATTATTCTTGGACCGATGATGGATAGGAATCGGGCGAGCGAGCGAGCGAGCGAGCGAGCCAACGAGCGAGCCAGCCGTCTCCTCCACGCTCCTCCACCCTCCCGCGCATATCTATCCGTGTTTCTCTCGCATCACGCGCGCACTCGCGTAACGATACGTCTAAGTAAGTACGTGTTATCCATCCCAGTTGTACGGCTTCCAAGCTTCTAATTCCCGTTGTCTACTTCCCGAAGGACGCGACGCGCCCGCTCGCTCGCTCGCTCGATCCCTCGCTCGCTTCGCGATCCTCCCCCTCCCCCTCCTCCTCTTCCGCCTCCTAGACGCCTCTGTGAATACTTTATACATACTATTATTATTACCACTACTACCACCACGCCTGCCGTATCTATCGAGAAGAATAGATACCTCGTGATCGAGATTAGAGAAAAAAAGAGGCGAAACGTCGTCGAATCGTCGTCGCTTTCCGTAGAGAAACGCAATGCGCAATGATCGGCATCTCGCGTCATTGTCGCCCGAGAAACCCCACATCGGAAAGAGATCGTACGCGTACTTGTGTGTATGGCCTAATGTATATATATACATATACATATTCGCAAATATTTAGCAAATAAATCGTATTTCATTAAAAAAGCGACCGATTTTCAACATTCCCCTCCTCGTTTGTTATATCTCTCCAACCCCTCCTCATTTCCGCTATATATATATATCGCGAAACGAGCGCGATTAGAAAAATTCGACTCGATCTCGTCCAACGAACGGTGTTTCCAGCGATCGAGAAAGAATTAATGGTGGTTCGTGCCACGAGACAATACAGAGGGAGAGAGGGAGGGAGAGAGAGAGAGAGAGAGAGAACGCGCAGAGGGGCGCCCCTTAACTCGATACCAAGGAAATTCTCGAGAGGATAAACGGTCGGTCGACGCGAGTCTCCCGGAAGACGATCGATGCTAATGGCCCGTGCCAAACCAGACGGCCTACCTACCTACCTACCTACCTACCTACCTACCTACCTATCTACCTGCCTGCCTGCTTGCCTGACCGTCCTTTGAATATGTATCGACGCGCTCTCTCTCTCTCTCCTCCCTCCCTCTTCGTTCTCCTCCATTTCGTAGTTTCGAGTCGCGATCCTCGAAACGAGGTGACCAACCGACCGACCAACCAACCGACCAACCATCGAATTCGATTACGGGCGGTTAACATTCGACGCCGGCACGAATTTTCTCCATTTGTGAGCGATCGAGTGTGTTGGACGTTCGTCGACGAGTTTGGCATCGAGGAGACCGAGGGAATCGATACCAGGCGCCAATTATAACCGTGTCGTCGTTTCCGTGTCCCATCCACTCCTACCCTACCCCCTTCGTCTCTATCGCTCGTCTCTCAACGATACGTAAAAAGAAAAAAAAAAGAGAAAAGGAAAGAAAAAAAGAAAAATAAGCGGCATATCTCGAAGTTCTTTTTTTTTTTTTTTTTTTTATAGCAAATTCGTGTCAACGGCCGAACGGGTGAAGCGAAATCTTACGGCTCGAGCTTAAAAGCCAAAGGTTCGCGTGCTCGTATAACGGAGAACGGCCGGTTACGGCCAAGATGGATCGACCCCCGGCCCAACCTTAACAGCTATATTAAAATTATTAGAATCCATCGAATCTCCCCTATATAATAAATTCTATTCCTTTCGATCGAAATTGAATCTCAAGTTGATCGATATTCAGCTCGCGGTCCCCTAACGTCGACCCCCCCCTTTAATTAACTTGTTCGCCGAGCGACTCTCTCCTCCTCCTTTTTCCTCTCTCCTTTTTTTCTTTCTCCTTTTTTGTTCCATCCATGGCGCGCACGCCTCCTCCGCGCGCGTTTTCCGCCCTGTCTTTCCCCTGCGACTACATAAATCTCAATTATTCCACTTTCCACCACCGTGTCGTTTATCCACGCGGGGAAGAGAAGGGAAGGCGACACCTCCTCTGAAGGAGAAACGCGAGGAGGAAGAGGGGCACCTCGATGAAAATCGTCGATACTCCTCTTCTTCGAAAGTTGTTTCTTCGCGGCGTTTCTTCCGCAATTCTTCCTTCCATTCCCTGCCGCATCTTGAATTATAAAATCTTGCGCACCTGCTCGGATCGATCGAATTCTCGTTCCCCCTCCTTGGATACGTTTTTCGGCTTCCAGACGAATTTACGGTCACCACACCGGTTTCTCATCGACGACTGCGAGCTGCAGATCGGTGAGAATAGGTTGGGGGAACGGTGTTTGTAATTACGGTGGAGAAAAGTTTCGTTGCGAGGAGGACGATGCCGCGCGGCCAACTTTCTTCTTTGACTCGTCTGGCGAAACTGTTTCGAAATAAAGGAGCTAGTAAAGTAGCACTGTCGTGGTATTTTCCGGGAAATGAAAAGCACCGTTTAAAGAGGGACGAGCGAACGGACGATAATTGCTCGACGATTTTTCTTTCCAGACAACGCGATGACTCTCTCGAATGAGAAGAAAGATTTTCCAAGATTTTTTTCTTCTTTCCCCTCCATTTTTTCCTCTCTCTCTTTCTCTCTCCTTTTTTTCCCGTTACGATTCGATACGATTTTTCTTTTTTCTTTTTTTTTTTTTTTTTTTTTTAAGGAAAGACGACCGTGGAAATTTTACTCGTTGTTCGAGGAAACGGCGCTGCGACTGCCTATTCCCTCGCGTAAAAATGGGTGGATTCGATCGTCGTTTTTAGTTTTTAGTTTTTTTTTTTTTTTTTTTTTGAAATCCGATCGTGCAAGTATCGCACGGCGGTATGCACGGATTAATTTTCGAAATTTTCCGTTGGAAAAATTAACCGGTTACAAATCTTCGATAACGTTTCCTTTTTATCCCGTTACGAATCTAAATGTCAAAAAATGAAACGCGATGTTTTCGTTGCGGTGCGCGAACCACGAAAAACGAACCGGCGAATAATGAACGGCACACGGGAGCGCGCGCTTTGCCTTTGGGACAATATCAATTAGTTATTCGAGTGCAACGATTTAAAAGGAATTTTTGCCGAAAACGTAGAGAACAGTGGTAGTCGGTCAAAAATCCGATATGACAAATACACAGTGATTGAGTTTGTTTCGTATCGATCGCTATTTTAGAA